ACACACACACACACACACACACACACACACACACACACACACACCTCAAGCATTTTACTAAGCAAGAGAGCAATGCATTGTGAAAAACAATTACACTTTCTGGAACATGGCGGGGCACCAGCAGCAAACACTGACGGTAAACTTTTTGGGATATAAAATCGACATCTCTCAGTGAGTTTAGTCCAGTCTAAATGTTATGCTGTTGGATACCTGAATGTCAGTCCAATCAGATATGCTTTCCAGAGGACAAATAAACCAGAAAACATGGGTTCTGAAAATCAGACACAACCTTCAACAGAACAGTCACCTAATAGTGGAATTTGGACCCCAACCAGTTCCATACGGACCACAAATCATTTCTCACAGATTAATATTTTCATAAACAAATTTTAGTATTTGTGTTCACAATTTTAATATAAATGATTTCTGTTGAAAATAAAGTAGATATAGGAGTATTTACCCATTAGAAAAGACTACTTAAGATAGCAAAGGCACACTTTCACATTTAACCATGTATACTATACTAAGCAGCAGTTTGGAGACTACTTTGTCTATGTAGGGTTTATTATTTCATATTTTTACAAAGCACTATTGCTGCCAACTTGGACATGTACAATAATGCACACTGCTCATTTCATTTAATAGGCATTTAAGCCATATTGGCAAAGAAGGAAACGTAGAGACTGAACCTCCTAAAACTTTAATTGAATACCTCTGGCCTACAACCTAAGAAACATAGCAGACAATGATCAGGAACTCATGGTGCTGTCATGTCAACCTTGTCTAAAATTTCCAAGCATAAGTATTCATAGTTCATTGTAGTACTTGGTCTCCTATTTTGGTGTCCTATTGCATCTTGTGGGACATATTTGCCTGAAAATCCCTGGGTAAATCCATGCACAAATACCAACCCATTCAGAGGTGTTTATCTTCAAACCCCCATGGCTTGTCATGAATAACATCCAGCATGATTCATCACCCAATTTCACTCAGCACCCCCATTCTCTTCTTCCACCAATCATGGCATTCCATTTAACCAAAACACCCACCCACCTAATTCCATTTCCACCAATCAGAAGAGCCTGTGCAATCACTCAGATCGCGTGTGATTGAGTGCAGCTGCTCCTCTGGGTGAAAGGAAAAGCATAGACGCAAAAAACCATTAGGCCGACGCGAACCGCAGATATGGCAGATAAAGCTTCACAGGTCAGCGCCTGTCATTGAGTCTGCTCTCTGGGGTAGAGCTAATCCAGTCGGCCCTGCTGAGCACTGACCCAATGCTGTGAGAGATAACAGAACAGCTGGTGTCAAAATCACCTGCCACACTGATGTGGAATAT